AGAAACACCCTCACAACAGCGGTAATTATTATTATTTTTTGTCATTTACTGACATGGTACTAGCGTTATAAAAATGTAAATGAAAAAAAGATTCATCATAGTCTGGGAAAAGGGTCCATAAAAGGGTAAAGTTTAAACTTTTGACTGAGATTTTACCTGAATTCACCCTACGTTTCTCATTGAAAGGAAATCTTGTTGAGGGATGTTTTTGAACATGCCGCACAAAAGGTCAAAAATGCCAGATGGAATGTAATATATTTGAAACAAGTGTTTACAAATGATTTGCAGTAGTCACTTTCAAATTGTGCAAGATCTGTACATCTGATGCCCATTTTCATTTGGTAAATCATGAAAACACTTATCTTTCCTGTAATCCTGCCAGTATGGATTAAGACTACCTCTAGCAAGTCTGTGATATAACATTTCAGAGCCACTGGGCAACAAGCCAGTTCTGTTTAAATATAGAGAGGGGATTCATTTGAGACTTATCAAATAAAATAAACAAAAATATACCGTATATATTTTTTGAGTAATGATGGTAGTCATTTTTCAGGTAGGTTTCAAACAGATTTACATTCTAGATTATTTATAATAGTTTATGCGTTTTAAAGAACCTGTATCGTAAATCTAACAGCAGGGGGAAACTGTTTTTCGATTGACTACACTCCTGGGCAAAAGAAAAATGGGCCAAGCCAAAAAATGGCAAATTATTTAATGGTCTTAACCATTTTAATCACAAATCAGTGGTCAGGAAATAAGTATTACACAAATACTGTAGATAAAGTAGCTTAGCACAGAATAGCTTTCCCCTTTATTTTCTTTAAAAGTTTAAAGGGGACCTTGATTTGTGATTTCACTTTTTTAACTTTAGTTAGTGTGTAATGTTGCTGTTTGAGCATAAACATCGGCAAAGTTACGACGCTCAAAGTTCAATGCAAAGGGAGATATTTTCTTTTACAGAAATCGCTTTTTAAGGACTACAACAAACGGCTGGTAGGGACTACAACAAGCTTCTTCCCGGGTTGGTGACATCATGAAGCCTAAAATGTACATAAACCCTGCCCCCAGAGACAAGCAACAAAAGGGGAAAGGCCATGTAGAGAAGAGAAGAGGATGAGTTGTTGTCGGCGTTTTTTACATCCCGGAAAAAGTTTGTCCTAAGGTTGACGAACTTAGAGGTTAAAATTTATTTCCTGAACATTATAACCTCAATGTTTGTCTGTGCGCTGCACATTTTACAGAGAACAGCTTCCAGAAGAGAGTACAATGCAGGCTATACGCACCAAAGCTTCTCCTGAAAGACGTAGCCATTCACATTTTGTCAGGACAATCTGTTGTTTATGGATCACAACTTGTAACTGTGTCTTATTATTTGTAGTTGTGTTTTCTATTAACAGTTACAACTATAAGTTTTATGTAGTTGCTTTGATAGATATTATGTAAAGCTTTATTATGTAAAGCTGTGCCTCCAGTAGCCTGCTAACTAACATTACAGTATTGATCTAGTGTTTACTTTAGCTTTTGTAAGCTCTTGCTTTTGTTAAATCGCCCCTTAGGAAACATCCCCCTTAGGAATTATCCATGATTTTGTGATTGATTACTGTTTGTTTTACCATAGTTTTCCAACAAATATGAATAAAAGGTGGATAACATCGTATCTATAAGAAAATTACAAAAATTCCACTCTGAAACGTCCTGTGAAATCCGTGCTTGCAAAGTCCGTGCTTGAAAAACGTTCAGCACAATCCTCTTGTTCGTTAACATTGTCAGGCTCTGAATCGTGCTTAAAATAGTTTGAAATTGATGCCATCGTTAATATTTACATCTGAGTAGAGCTTGCGGTTATGAAGGGGCATGACATTTCCCGAACACACGCTAAGCGCTGCCAATCACAACACACTGGGACAGCTAACCAATCACAGCCCATTTCATATTACAGAAGGAGGGGCTTCGAAAACAACACGTTCAAACAGACTGGGGATACAGGAGCTGTAATAATGTAAAATATGTGAAAAATAATAAAAATAAAAAATATTTTCTAGTACACCCCAAAAACAAAACCAAGACTTCGTAAAAGGGCATAATAGGACCCCTTTAAGCCGTGTGGGTAAAATTGCAAGACAGCTTTTTGCAGGAAAAAGAGTGTGTTGTTGATGGCTTCAAACAGTTCATGAGTACCGGTAGTTGAAAAATGTCTCCAAGTTAGTTTGAGTTTAATGTGAGACCAAATATAATTAATAATAATAATTCATTACATTTATATAGCGCTTTTCTCGGCACTCAAAGCGGTTAACAGAAGGGGGAATCTCCTCAACCACCACCAGTGTGCAGCATCCACCTGGATGATGCGACGGCAGCCATATTGCGCCAGAACGCCCACCACACACCAGCTTACTGGTGGAGAGGAGACATAGTGATGAAGCTAATTGGCATATATATATACACTCACCGGCCACTTTATTAGGTACCCCATGCTAGTAACGGGTTGGACCCCCTTTTGCCTTCAGAACTGCCTCAATTCTTCGTGGCATAGATTCAACAAGGTGCTGGAAGCATTCCTCAGGGAGTTTGGTCCATATTGACATGATGGCATCACACAGTTGCCGCAGATTTGTCGGCTGCACATCCATGATGCGAATCTCCCGTTCCACCACATCCCAAAGATGCTCTATTGGGTTGAGATCTGGTGACTGTGGAGGCCATTTTAGTACAGTGAACTCATTGTCATGTTCAAGAAACCAATTTGAAATGATTAGAGCTTTGTGACATGGTGGAAGTAGTAGCCATCAGAGGATGGGTACATGGTGGCCATAAAGGGATGGACATGGTCAGAAACAATGCTCAGGTAGGCCGTGGCATTTAAACGATGCCCAATTGGCACTAAGGGGCCTAAAGTGTGCCAGGAAAACATCCCCCACACCATTACACCACCACCACCAGCCTGCACAGTGGTAACAAGGCATGATGGTTCCATGTTCTCATTCTGTTTACGCCAAATTCTGACTCTAACATCTGAATGTCTCAACAGAAATCGAGACTCATCAGACCAGGCAACATTTTTCCAGTCTTCAACTGTTCAATTTTGGTGAGCTCTTGCAAATTGTAGCCTCTTTTTCCTATTTGTAGTGGAGATGAGTGGTACCCGGTGGAGTCTTCTGCTGTTGTAGCCCATCCGCCTCAAGGTTGTGCATGTTGTGGCTTCACAAATGCTTTGCTGCATACCTCGGTTGTAACGAGTGGTTATTTCAGTCACTGTTGCCCTTCTATCAGCTCGAACCAGTCTGGCCATTCTCCTCTGACCTCTGGCATCAACAAGGCATTTCCGCCCACAGAACTGCCGCTCACTGGATGTTTTTTCTTTTTCGGACCATTCTCTGTAAACCCTAGAGATGGTTGTGGGTGAAAATCCCAGTAGATTAGCAGTTTCTGAAATACTCAGACCAGCCCTTCTGGCACCAACAATCATGCCACGTTCAAAGTCACTCAAATCAACTTTCTTCCCCATACTGATGCTCGGTTTGAACTGCAGGAGATTGTCTTGACCATGTCTACATGCCTAAATGCACTGAGTTGCCGCCATGTGATTGGCTGCTTAGAAATTAAGTGTTAACGAGCAGTTGGACAGGTGTACCTAATAAAGTGGCCGGTGAGTGTATGTATATATATATATATATATATATATATATATATATATATATATATATATGGGGATGATTAGGAGGCCATGATGGACAGAGGCCACTGGGCAAATTTGGCCAGGATGCCGGGGTTACACCCCTACTCTTTCGAAAGGCATCCTGGGATTTTTTGTGACCACAGAGAGTCAGGGCCTCGGTTTAACGTCTCATCCGAAGGACGGTGCTCTTTGACAGTATAGTGTCCCCATTACTATACTGGGGCGTTAGGACCCACACAGACCACAGGGTGAGCACCCCCTGCTGGCCTCACTAACACCTCTTCCAGCAGCAACTTGGTTTTCTCAGAAGGTCTCCCATCCAGGTACTAACCAGGCTCAGCCCTGCTTAGCTTCAGTGGGCAACCAGTCTTGGGCTACAGGGTGATATGGCTGCTGGTATATTATATTCACTATATTAAATATTCACTTTAGGGTTCAAATCTGGAATCTGGCCAGGCTAAAACATGAGGCTGATGGACTTGTTCTCAAGCCACTTCTTGGTTGTCTTTGCAATTTGGGCAGGAGCATTGTCTTGTTGAAAAATAACATCTGATCATTCCTCTTTAGATAACAACTTTTCAATCATGGGAAGAAAGGCATTTTGCAACATTCTCCTGTACTCCAAAGCATTGCATGATTTTTCATAGTGAAGTAGCTCAGCAATACCAGCAGCTAAAAAGTCTCCCCACACACAATGACAGTTCTTCCTCCATGCTCTACTGTGGTAGAGATGCATTTATAGTTCTTACCAGATTTCCGAAGACACCCCTCTGGAGCATCACCATGCAACTCATGTTTCATTATGATTCACTCCACACAACTCTGCTGAACCACTCAGAATCAAACTTCCCATATTCTGCCAAAAACTTCATTCTGTCTTTAATGTTTTTCTGAGGCAGCAATGGATTTTTAAGTAGTGAATTTGATTACATTTTGATAATTTCCTGACCAATAATTTGTGGTTAAAGTGTAGATGTGTAAAATGTCTTAATATGTGACATGCTATTGCATTTGTGAATGACTTTCCTCCTCTTTGGTAATACCACCATCTAGTGGAGGCTTTTTAAAGTCACATAAACAGTGCACTGATGCACTGACTGTTTGAAACTAAGGCCAGGATTACACTTTAGTTTAACAAGGGCATTTAAGTAGCTTTTATAAACGTGCCTTAGAAAAACAACTTTACTGGTGTGCATCTTGAGACAAAACAATGGCAGTGAAATATTTTAAGATATATCAGTACAAGTTGCTTTCCGTTAAAACAGCTCAAAGTCTGGAACTAGGCTTAAGCCTTGTCTGTGAAACCAGAGGTAAGATTACTTACACTCCTCCAAGCCCAACTGATAAGCCAGATTCTGCAGTCCCTTCACCTTCTCCATCAGATTTGCTGTGGTCAAACTTCCTAATTCTAAAACAAAATAAGAAGACCAATCACATCTAGTCTGTATTGATCTATGCCAATGCCAGAACAAATAAGTTAATAAAAATGAACAAAGTTTTTTAAATTCACATTGCAATTTATCTAACTATACGCTGATTTTACGCAGCCGCCATTTTGAAATGGCTCCGGTGGGAAGAAAACCCATGAAACCGGATGCGATGGCGTATTGTTGTGTTTAATGTAGAAATTAGTTATTCTAAAAATGTACATATGTTTCTTTCATACTTTAGACTATATACAGTGAAAATCATTTATAAATCAAATTATTTTTTTATATATATAATTCAGAACGTAAAAAAAGAAGCAGGAACGAACTATATACATATCCTATATTGGATATTAACATCCAATAGTGTAAATCGCGGCAGCAGCTTCAGGTTGGTATTCCAAGGCATTGTTGTCTAACTGTACTTCCGGGGTTCTTCCCACCGGTCACATGGGACCATAACAATAAAATGCTGCTAACTGATGCATCAAGAGGCTCAATGTTAATTTGTTTTAATTAATGGAAAAGGCAGCAGACCTTTCAACATTTCAATATCTTCTGACTCCAGTTCAGCCATCCATTTGGGCGGAGAATTTGTGATAGGCTGGAATAACAAACAAAAGTCTTAAATTCATCTCTCATGTTTGAAAATTATTTATTATAATTAGATTTTTTTACTCACATTTTTGAAGGATGCAGCAAATTCTGAGACACCCGGTACTGTTAAAATATCAAAGGACTACATGGGACTTTCAAACAACATTCAGATACATAAAAAAAAGCTACTGTAATAAACTAATGCACTTAGAGTATTTCAACCAATGTAACTTTGGGTCATATGTGAAGTATCTGTGAATATGACAAAGTACTGTTCAATAAAATTAGACAATCAAACTTACACTGCTCTGGCCACAGGTCAGGTGAAGCCCGGTCAAGTTTTTCAAAACTCAGCAGAGAGGACTCAAAGTCCTCACCTATATACATATATATAAAAACAATTATACTCTTTATTACAACACTGGTTCAGAGAAACAAACAAAAAGAATTAGCATTCATTAAAATAGAACAGATCATATAAAATTAATAATACAGGTGAGTTTAAATGCTGCGACTTTGGGAACAGCAATCCTCATGTATTATTCAGGATAAAGTATTTAGTATACAAGTAATGTTATGACAGGTCACATTGGAGGGGGAGTTTAAGTTATGATTACTCAGTCAGCATCAGTCAGTAGTGCATTGTTGTGATCAAGCTGAACTAGCTGCATTGAATATCAATGCTTGACAAAAATACAAAAACACATATTTAAAAAATATATGCAAGATACAAAAAAAAAGTTTTCTTCGCGTAACCGCTGCACCATTATATTCGTAATTATTTAATACAGTAATTTATGTCGCTTACACGTAACGTTAGCTTGCTAATGACTGACTCTAAACAATTTTATCACGCTATTCCGAGGTAAAAGCTTATTTTGAAACTCAATTCGTGAATTCTTTAAGAGGATATGCTGAACAGCATAACGGTTTAACTGGTCCGTTGCATGGCTACATTAACAACTAATGCTACCAGGGAAAAGAAGAATTAAAATTTACCTCCATTCGGAGACGCCATCTTGACAACAACACACGTGATTTGAGGAAACCAATGACTGAAGGCAGTGGATCTCTGTAGCCACGCCCTCTCGTGTTGCGCTCTGTCGCAACCATTGACAGAAATTTGAATCACTGGTAAACATCAGTTTCAGCTTACCTGAGAGAAGCAACAGTAGTTTTTAATAAAAATTGAGTTCAAGATTCAATCTGTGTTAACCAGGACAGATTTAAGAAAATACATAGAACTTTTGAGACGTTAAACTTACATAAAGCCCAAAAACAAATTGTACCATTCTTCCTCTAAGCATTGTGGTTTATGAAATCTATAATATTTTCAGTAAAAGGAGCTAGACACGTTTTTGCTATCCAATGCAACACAAATAAAACCCTCATACACAGACATTTTTTTAAATGTATTCATTTCGGTCAGTCATTGGTCGGCATTTAAGACAATTACGAAATAAAACAGCAAAAAATCTTGCAAATAACATTATCATTATTCCAGAACCACATAGCCAGGCGCCCAACATGAATCCAGTTGAAATTTTGTAGTGAGGCAATCTAACTGAAAAAAAAAAAAAAAAACACAACTTGGGCCACTTAGAAATATAATATTGAGATACAAGGCAAGGCAAGGCAAGTTTATTTATATAGCACATTTCATACACAATGGTAATTCAAGGTGCTTTACATAGAAAAATCAAAAGAAATAGGAATAATTAAACAGTTAAGAATAAAGAGATTAAAATAATCAAAAGAAATAAGAATAATTAAAACAGTTTAGAATAAAAAATCAAATACATATCAACCTAGATACATATCAAAGGTTGTCTGTTTTTGAATACACTAATTCATAAATTTCTTCTTAAATAGTGAAAAACACATTATGTAACAAATGAAATGTAAAAAACACAATCAAAAGGGTGAATACATTATACAGAGTCTATAAATGTGAAATCTGAAAGGCACTTTATTACTTCTATCAGTTTATTTCAGAGAAGCAAACGCATGTAAACACTATAAAAAAATTATGACTGTAAAATACTATAACTTTAAAATACTATTTTAAAAAGTTTCATCACAGCATAACAACAGAGTAAAGGCTGTCCTTCAACAATGAAATGAATGATCCAGTCAACTTGTAACAACTAATATTTAAAACATTTTAAGGCCCAAGATAAATGGTCTAAAATTGAATAGAAATGTTGTCTAAAATTCCCAGGATTCCATCCACCTGAGGCCGGCCATAGAGGAGGCAGGGTCATGTGCCAGCGGCCCCCTCATGCCATAGGAGAGAGAGTGAAAGAGGTAAAAGCTGAAAGTAGATGGACAGAAGAAATTTCAGAGTGAGATCAATATTAGAAATGGCCTAAATTTGTGACCCAAACAAACATAATACATAGAATATTCGTACAATGCACATTTTTTTCATTAAATAACTGAATATAGTCCACTTTATTCATTTCTAACGAGAGTAAAGAGTTTAAATAAAATAAAGCAAGCATAAAGCTGTTATGAGCCCAAAACAACTAAATTTAAACATTGTGGAGCCTTACCTATAGATGAACCCTAACAAGAGTATAGATTGACCTCCCCTCAGAAGATAATGGGATATGGATGAACTAAAGAGAAGTTGAAAATTCTGAAGGAAGATGTCCAGAGTAATACCTTAAATAAAGAAGGTCATTAAATATGTTAACTGTAATGTTGTGCCAACAAACATGCTAATTAATGATGACCAAAACATTTTAAAGTCCAAAGTAGGTTTTACACAATTTACATAAGGCTAACTATTAACCTTTAGTCTATATGACAATATTTTGATAAGAATATCAGCCGATTTCTGCCCTTTTGCTATCTGGTTTGCCTTTGTACCTGTAAGCATACTGCTGAACAGCATGGCAGGAAAATAATGGTGGTAGTAGAGTATGCGACCCATGATGTAGAACGGGAGGTAATGTAACAGCCAGCCCAAAAGCAGCATCCCACCACCCTCCATGAGAGCATGACAGTGCACTGAAAGAAAACATCAGCTGTTTTAGACTTCAGATTGGCTCTTGTACTGCACAATCTGCAGTGCTGCTTACCTTTCCTCATTCCCTCCATCTTCACTCCTCTCTGTACGGCTAAAGAAGCCACGGTCAGCATGACAACAAATAGAGCCAGACTCAATAGATTCAGCCACCAGATAACCTGAAGATGAAATATGATGTTTTGACAATGACAGGACAGGAGATCTTAGCAAATAGAGGGCATAAAAAGGACAGAGACACTTACAGGGTTCCCGAGTAGATAAACACGGTACTCCGTCTCATTTACTCCAGAAAACCTCAAACCCTATTATGAAAAATTAATAATGATGAGATAGTACACAGATGAGGATTTTCAAAACAGTCCTGTTATGGTAACTAAAACGAAAACTATTAAAAATAATTTTTGTTCAAAGAAATAAAGCAAAAAAAAAAAAAAAGTTTTTCTGCTGGTAACTAACTAAAATAAAATAAATTGAAGTACTAAAATAATAAAACTAAAACTTAAAGAGCCTCTATTAAAGGCTCCTAATTTTGTTTTGGGGGTCTCCTATAATAGGTTTACATGCATCCAATGTTAAAAAAACAACAACAACAAAAAAACACATTTTTCTCATAATATACATTGCACATCAGACATCACCACATTTCTCAAAGGGTCTGAAAATTGGTTGCTTGAAGATTCAGTCTCTCTAAACCCATCCTTCCCGTCCTTTTCAGTCTGTTGTGATTGGTCTACCGCTTACAGAACATGTCGGAAATGAAACTTCCATGAATTTCAGCTCCAGAAGCTTCCCCAGCACTTGTATACACAGTGATTATGAACAGTAATGATGCTGTCAGTTTTACCATATCAATTTGAGTCAGAGTCCTCATCCTTTGAAAGTGCATGGCAGCACAGAAAACAGCGTATTCTCAATGTCAACACCACGCACGAACCAACCTCTTCCAGGCTTCAGCTACAACTACAGTGTTTGAGGGAGGGTCAAAGTAGATGTTGTTCGTGGGTAGAACAATGAAAACTATAGGCTGGCATTATGCAAATGTGTTACAAACCTACATAGGTTCATGCAGGAAGTAAGACTGGAATTACTGACGACTCGTTTCGGCAGTTCAGAATCATTTTTTTCTTTTGGGAGAAAATAACTCCCAATTAAAATAAAACATTTAATTTTATTGTGATCTTTAAAAAATGTGCAGACCTTAAACAGCTATATAACACGCTACATGAAAGGTCCGAAAAAGCACTATTGGGGCACTTTAAAAAAAGACCTTAAAGCTGCTGTAGGTAACTTTTGAAAACATGTATTTGCTAAAACTGTCGTTATGTCCTGACAGTAGAATATGAGACAGATAATCTGTGTAAAAATCAAGCTCCTCTGGCTCCTCCCAGTGGTCCTATTGCCATTTGCAAGAAATACACGCTCCCGGTCAGAAACAACCAATCAGAGCCAGGAGGAACGTCTTAGCAGTGTCAATCATGCTCGTGTAAGCGCTGATCACACCCCTCTCTTGCACAGCGCGTTGCGCGAGCCGTCGTTCAAACTCAAGATTGCCGGCGTGCTGCAGCTGTGCTTATGACGGAGAAACAACCTAAACTGCCAATTCTCGAGTGACACCTGATCATAAAACAAAGAGGTAATAAAATAACATTGAATTTTCACACATGGGCGGAAAGGGGTATCACCCACATTAATAGTCCGTGAGGCAAACCCACAAATTTCAGAAATTTGTCTCATAAGAGGGCACCAATGCTACTCTTTTTTATTCAACAGAGGGATGTCCCTGGACCACAAAAATGCATGATAGCAATTCTTAGTGGGTAGCTTAAGGTAAAAAAAATCACCAATTTTATGTTTGACCCCCCTAACATTTGGCAAATTCCATTTACGGTCGGTTATTTCTATAATTCATTATTTTTGGTACCAAAACATTCATACTTGGTGATATCTAGGTTGGCATTTTGTTGACTTTTTAACTTGTTTAAAAAATATTGTTATTGTGATTATTTTTTTTGCAGAAAACATAGTGGTGTACAGCTTTAACTCATTGTTTTAAACTTAAGACCAGTCTGTAAATGCCTCTGTTTAACAGGTAAGAATGAATTTTGCAATGAGGGGCGGCTATCGAACAAACGTTCTCTGGCTATTCAGCGACTCGCAAGCTCGTTTAGAGCGGGGACCAAGAGTCCCCACAGAACCTTTCTGAGGATGCTAGGCCTCATGGCCTCTGCTCCATAAGTACATCCGCAGAGTATGCTACACATACTGCAGTACTGGCTAAAACCACAGGTTTCCCCCCAATCATGGCGCTAAAGCCATCTCTATATCAGGGTAAACCACGGCTGCACCAGAGCCCTGGTCGAAACCCAGTCTCTTGGAGTCAGGGGTGAGCTTGGACCAGCATGGAGGGACGGTTTCATATCAACTGCCTAGAATTGCTGGTGGTTTTAAAACCTTTCTACCACGTTTGTCAGGTCACCATGTCCTGTTCCACACGGACAACACAACAGTAGTGTCCTATATAAACTGCCAGGGGGGGGGCTCAGGTTGAGACGACTGCACGAACTGGCCAGAAGTCTCCTCTTATGGGCAGAAATCAACCTGCGCTCGCTGAGAGCAACGCATGTTCCACGGAAACTGAACCAGGAAGCAGATATGCTGTCCCGGGGCAATGTGTCCCCAGGGGAATGGACCCTCCATCCCCAAACAGTTCAAATTATCTGGAGTGTTTTCAGGAAGGCAGAGGTCAAATTCTTTGCCTCCAAAGACAACTCACTGCCCAATATTATCTCCTCTCCACCAGTAAGCTGGTGTGTGGTGAGCGTTCTGGCCCGCAATATGGCTGCCGTCGCATCATCCAAGTGGATGCTGCACATTGGTGGTGGTTGAGGAGATCCCCCCTTCCATGTGAAGCGCTTTGAGTGCCTAGAAAAGCGCTATATAAATGTAATTAATTATTATTATTATTATTATTATTTATGAGCTTCGGTGGTCGCACAGTGCTTGATCACAATGCAAAGATTATGGCTGGTGGATGCTATGGCTTTAGTATATGCCTCTATGGGCCTGCAATGCCCCATAGGCATCACAGCTCCCTCCACTAGAGGCATGGCCTCCTCCTGGGCATGGTCCAGTGGAGTATCTATTGGCGATATATGTATAGTGGCCGGCTGGTCCTCGCAGTCCATCTACGCCAGGTTTTATAACTTGGAAGTCCCTGCACTGCAGGCACATATCCTTTCTGTGTGATGAAGTCAGCCTCAGTGAGCCAGGCCCATCATAATTAGGGCTTTTGCCCGTTCAACACGTCATGCCAAAAGGCCCTTGCTTCGGACCCTTATGCAAGCATCCTGACATCAGAAGATGTCGTTGCTCTTATCATAGCACAGCGTGAAAGGGTTGGTTCCCCATAGCGTATAGCTACGCAATACATATGACCGTTCGAAGGGAGATATATTGAACCATATTTGCACAAAATATTACTTTGTGTTAAAGGTTCTCTAAGCGATCCTGGGTGACGTCACTTCTTGTTGACGTTCGAACTATTGTCAAACAAAACGGAGGCTAGCTAGACCCTCCCTCCTCCTCATCCGCACACTAACCCCCCAAACCACACCCCCAAACCCTTCTTGTCGGTCATTGGCTGGAACAGTTTGTTATGTTTTGGGGAGCGGGTCGCTGCAGTTTGTTTTTGGTGCTGTTTGTGAAGCATGGGCTGTCTACAGAGATCGCGTTTCTTTACAGTGTGTTCAGGGGACAGGCAGCCAGCGGATAGTGAGGAGATGTTTGCTGTATGTGACAAAAAATGTTTTGGCCTAAAAAACACATGACATCGCTTAGAGCACCTTTAATATAATTCCAAAATTGTGTTATATTTTCCTTATTTTGTTGTATATTTTCTGTCCTAAAGAGCATATATATTTTATTTTATTTTTAATTTCACAGTGATATCTCATCATAAAAGAGAAGATCTAAAGCAATAGATATGTCAATATAACAGTTTATCAATGTTGAGATTTAGTTTGCATAATTAGAATTTTTCAGCACAATTAAATGTAAAATTGGTATTTTTCATACCTTAAGGCTTAAGCTACCTACATGGCACTGCTATCATGCATTTTTGTGGTCAGGGGGCATGCCTGTTTTGAAAAATAACCATTAGAATTGGTGCCCTTTTTGATACCAATTTTCTCCCCGCCTCACGGACTATAAGCACATTTTCAAATCTAACACATTTAGACCACTTACGCAACTGGCCCAGGAGTATGGCATCGGGAGCAACGAATTTTTAAAATACCTACAAATCAAATCTTCTGTTCTGACAAAAATAAACATCAGAGACACAAATTTAGAACTTCCACCGGCAATATCAGACTTGGTCAATATTTCCTCCCCAAAGAAACTTCTCTCTAAAATATACAAAATGATTTCAAACCAACTTCAGACCATATACTTGCCAACAATAAAATGGGAAAACGATCTTTCAATAGCCCCTGATGCCAACTTCTGGACCCAAATCTGTAAAAACATCTATCTCATGTCCAAAAATGCGAATCTTCAGTTAATACAATACAAAATACTTCACAGAACACATTACACGGGCAATAGATTAGCTAAAATGGGTTTCACGTCAGAAGTTTGCACACATTGCAATCAAAATTCTACAGATACATACATCCATGCAACCTGGCACTGCACTCCAATCAAACACTTTTGGGAAGAGGTCACACAGTCACTATCCACTATAGTTGGCTGCCACATCCCACTGTCGCCTTCTCTTTGCTTGCTGGGAGACCTCACAATAATCACTGATAAAACTATAAACTCTAAAATGCTCCTCATAGCTCTAACCATCGCCAAGAAAACTATCCTCATGAACTGGAAAACTATAAATAAATTACACATTAACATTTGGAAAAATCTTATTACAGATTTCATTACAATGGAATACGCATCTCCCCCTCATAATTACACATCTGAAACTGACCTCTGCCGTCCAACACTTTCTGACCTCTTACAGCTATGAATCATATCTCTGTTTTCAACTCCGACTCCTCCCACCTTCTTAATCCACCCACGAGTATTAATGCATTTTAGTTGTTTGAACTTGTTTACGTCATCATTGTTATTACTATCTTTACTGTTATTGCTATGATTACTATTTTCACTTTTATTTTTTCATTGTTGTAATTGCTGTTGTTGCTGTCTTTTGCTTTCACCAATGCGATCACCACTGCCACCATCATTATCATTTATTATTAATATTATTATTATCATTATTATTATAATCATCAATATTGCCATTGTCAATGCTGTATTGGAATTAAGTGTCATTGTCATCACTACTGCAATAATTCCCCCTTTATCTCTTCATGGGTTTTTAATGCACCACAACATAGAATAGAAAAAAAAAAAAAAAAAGGAATATGTATATATGGAAAACCTCACAAACACCAAGGCAGGCAAAACAGGCGAGAAGTGGTTTCAACGGGACAGCATCTCTGTCCCAATTTGAGACACTCTCGCACTGTACTCCCTCTTTTAATGCACCTTAGACATTGCACATAACACACACCCAAAAAATAAAAAAATATTTTTTTTTAGGAAAAGATAGGGACTGATGAGATGTGGGGGAAGGTTATCTTATATTATATTATTATATCATCTTTTATTTTATACAGGGTTGACAATGGCAATTGTAACATAGGAGGAAGGATGCAAATAAAAATCGACCAACACAATATTGGCAGTGTGGTGGTAGTGGGGAGTAGGGTGGTGATGGTAATGACAATGGTAATAAATAATAAATGGTTACTTTGTTTACGCATACACACACATACACATACTCACACTCACACCCGCTCACATACACACTTAGATCAAACACTTAAATCACTTTTATGTCACTTCTGGGATTATGGATTTACAAGATTGCTCACTACTGCACTATGTTGGTTTGTATGTATGTCTGAATGTTAAATAAAAAAACAAAAACAAAAAACAAACAAACAAAGAGGTAAAAGGAAAAAGACTGATGACGATAAACAAGCGAAAAAGAAAGAATTACACAGAGCCCATTGACTTGGTGTCAAAACTCTAGCCGCATAACATGTAGATAAAATGTCACGCACTCTGCTAAGCAACAATTGAAATCTGCTAATTCACTGGCATGTCATGTTGCTGAAATAATGTACTAGCACACCTTATCTAGCATTATATATCACTAGAATAATTACTTACATACTGTAACGTTAGTTACCGTTATATTAACGTTATCTTACTAGCTATTTATAACTTATAGAAAGAGTGCAACGTTATAAAGTTACATGTAGGCTATTGGAAATACATAATGATTTGAGGACCAAGTTTGTAGTCAAAGTATGGGCAGGCCATAGTCAATGTAAAGCATATTATTGACGTTTAGTCCCTATTAGTGAATGTGCCATATAACTTTTTATCCGCTGTTATCGGTGGCACTGTTTACTAGCCTGCGCGTTCACGACGGGCTCCGCTGTGGAGGGAGGGCTGTAGCGCAGCAGATAGCAAGGGGGTGGGACCTGTAAGTTGTGTTTGTTCAAATTTTCAGGCTAAGTCAACGTTTTCTCAAAACTCCCTACTGCAGGTTTAAGCTAAATAGAAATAACAAAATTATTCAAACTAACTAAAATTAGAATAAAAACTGAAAATATAAAAAAATAAAAGCTAATTCAAAATATGAATAAATACTATAATAGCATATAAATAACACTAACATAACACTGCTATTAAAAAACACTGCTTTTTCTTTAATCTGTCTATCAGATTTGACACAATTTACCTGATAGTTGATGGGCCAGTGCCAGGGCTTAGAGTTCACCTCATTGTCTTTAGCTTTCAAACCACTGTTTCCCTAAACAAAAAAACAAAACAAGTTATTAAACTTAAACCAAATAAATTAGTTAAGAAATTATTCCCATGTGAAAATCTTACCCTGATCATCACAATATGAGACTCCCAGAGGATCTCCAGGAAAGTGGGTTTGAGCACTAAAAGACTGATGTTGGGCACTGCAGATACACAAAGATGTTGCACAAACAGCTGAGAAAAACCCATCCAGTGGCACATTTCTACCTATTATCATATTTTTTAAAATGTAGCTATATACATACATTTAGGGTTGATGTGATCTTCAATGTTCCACTGCAAGTTGGGGGTCTCTTTGACATATGGGCTACATGTGACCTCCACTTGCTCCCATCCCCTGTTGAAAAGTAAAATGCAGTTTAAAAAATTTCTTTCTGTGATATGTTATGTACTACTGACCAGAGGTGCGTTTACTATACAATGATGTAACTCACGGAATAACTACCATAGTATGATGCATCATTGGAAAAACTAATCAACTAGTCATTACTGTTTCCCTAAACCATAGTAACATGGTCACACCTCATTGGTTAGTAGTAACATTGGTTCAACAATATAGGACCGTCTTTAAGGCATGTGGAGGAGTAATAAGTTCTGATAATTAATCTATTCGCTGCTAATTCTGCTAACTAATCTAATCTAATGCTAATTAATCTATTTTGAGATCTCAGAGATGCTGCTGTAACGAACAAGGCACCTTATGACTACTTCGCTGTTTTGAAACTATGCTTCGAACTACCGCTCGAGAACTGTAGTTCCAACCACACAAGTTTGCAACTATAGTTTCGGAAAACGCCAAATTGTTGAACTACGTTGGTAACAACGGAAATTGCAACCATAGTTGGCTAATAATGCTTTATGGAAATACACCCCTGATGAGTTTTCTCTGAACAAACGCTCTCACCACTTGGGTAGGGTCTTTCCGGAGGAGCAAAGCACGCAACCCGTGGAGCGATGGAGAAAGCGCACTTTACTACGCAGCACCTTCACCGGATCTCCCTTTCTCCCTCCACACACCTCCACCTGCCACAAGTCATTCATGTCTCCGCTTCCATTCTGAAATGAAAAGAGATTCCGTTCGATGATGATACTGTCAACTTATAAAAAATTATCAATGTTCATAAGAGGTTTAAAGTTGCACTGCAGTTCGCTGTTATCTAGTAGTATGAGATCTTCCTTTTGCTGGCGATCAGATGACTGCACATGATAAATAAAAATATTTAAATCTACAACTTTAACTAAAACAAACTGAATCTGTTACACTGATAAAACATGAAACCACCTGATCAACTGACAGGTTTCTAAAAGGTTTAGTTTCTATAAGGTGCTCCAGGGATGACGTATTTTTGTCGTCCAAAACCTGTAAACGAGTTAGCCTTTTTTCACGTCACTTTCCATTGTCCTGAAGGAAATAGAGTGGTGTAGGTATGACGTAAATTTGTAGGCCAAAACATGGAAGCGAGTTTGCATTTTAGCACTTCTGTTTTTTTTTATTAGTTTTTGGTTAAATAGCTGAAATAAGGTCTGTGGTGAACACAAGCTCAAAACACTTTCACGGTTTATTCTACGACAGAAAATACATCAGTATTACCCCACCTGTGATTTTTTTTTTTAAGTTGTTACTTGTCTTGAAAAAGGCGATTGCTAAAAAGTGGCTAAATGGGACTAAAGACAGAGGCAGTCGGCGACATTAAACGTCCTCACACCAAACAGGTAAACACAGTCTTCATTTACAGCCTCATTATGTTTATAATCTATTATAAACTATTCTAATTCAAACATTCTGGGAAAATGTTTTTAGATAAAAACTGAAAGAGTTGTCGGAAGCTTAGTGAAGGTGACGTTGAAGTTGTGCGACCTTGGTGTAGTTCGTTTACAGCCTACCTTTAGCTTTTTACTTCTGGCGACTGCATTTAGGCTTAAAAATTCACAAAAGTTGTGTTCATCTGTGAAAATGATCTTGATGAAAAAAACATGTGAGTAACAAACTTTTGTTGATCACAGAGCTTGTTTTTTGCGATAATCCAAAAGCCTATGGAAAATGTTATTGGGTTTTTGTCGAGGGAACCAGCGTGATGCTAACTGCGCCTACAAAGTGACGTCATACCTGCATCACTCTATGGTTTATTTGAATGGGTTTTTGGTTGAATGCCTGAAATAAGGTCTGTGGTTAAGACCAGCTCAAGATACGTTTTATTTTACGCACTTAAAATACGACCCCATTGTGATTTTTTAAAGCTTTTACTTGTCTTTGCCTTGTGGTTGCTAACAAGTGGCTAAATGGGACTACAGAAGTTGTCGGGGACATCAAACGTCATCACGCTGAATAGGTAAACTCATTTAATCCTAGTCCGCTTCCACAGCCTCACTGCGTTTATAATCACGCTCTTGCAAACTCTTCTATTTCAAACTTTAAGGGAAAATGTTTTTTAAATAAAGACTGAAAGTTGTCGGAAGCTTAGTGATGGCCGGGTTGGCCTACAAAAATACATCACTGCAGCACTCTATAGCAATGCCAAAACCTGTAGTACATGAAAAAAGTATAGTACTCACAATGCCGTATCCTGTGACCTGCAGGTGTTTTTTGGTCAGTGGAGCTTCATGGAAATGACTGTGAAGATTCCTTGTAGTTCTGATGAGGAGAATCAGGGGTGGACTGTTACTATTATTTTCACTTTTACTTAAAAAAAAAAAAAAAAAAAAAACTTGATGCTTACTCTTTGTGTTCCAGTCTAATGATGTCACCATTTCGGACCAGCTCTGATGACTCTGTGAGATCTTAGCAGAGAACAGGAGTTATTGACTCTTGTGCAGTGTCAATATAGGATAGTAAAGTAGTGCAAAAATGTAAAAGAACTCACCGTCAGAGTTGTCAGGTCTCTTGACCAACCACAGGTTGTTATAATCTTTGTGCAAATAGGCTGTAACCTACATGGGTGAAGATGATAAATAGAAAATACAATTATTTATTGTTACAGACCACATAAAGTTCCAAATACAGGCCAGATACAGTACTAAAAATACACATTTAGATACTGTTCACTACTGTTAAAAATGTAACTGTAAAAATGTAAAAAAAAAGAAAAAGGTTTTTTAAAATGTTTTGAAAGAAGTCTTTTAAAGGCTGCATTAATTTGACCAAAAATAAAGTAAAACTAGTAATATTGTGAAATATAAAACAATCATTTTAATATAATAAATGTTTTCTATTATAATATATTTTAAAAAGTACATTTTTCCTGTGCTGGCGAAGCTGAATTTTCAGCAGTCATTACTCCAGTCTTTAGTGCCACATGATCCTTCAGAAATCCTAATAATATAATGATTTGGTGCTCCAGAAACATTTTTTATAATTATCATCACAGATGACAATAGATGTGCTGCTTAATATTTTTGTTAAAACCATGATACAATTTTCAGGATTATTTAATAAATAGAAAGTTCGGTAACACTTTGTTTAGGGTCCTAGTTTAGGGTCCTAGTCCTCACTATTACCTAGTTGCTTATTATCATGCATTACTAGGATACTGGTTGTTTATTAGTACTTATAAATCACATATTAAGGCCTTATTCTGCATGACCATATTCTATCCCTTAATCCGACCCAATACCTAAACTTAGCAACTACCTTACTAACTATTAATAAGCAGTAATTAGTAGTTTATTGAGGCAACAGTCATAGTTAGTTAATAGTGAGAATTAGACCCTAATCTAAAGTGTGACCAAAGGTTCAAAAGAACAGAATTTATTTGAAATAGAAATCTTTTGTTACATTATTAATGTCTATGTCACGTTTGATCCATAAATGTTGTATACAACATTAATTTCTTTCTTTCTTTTTTTTTTTAAACCGACTGAACCTGTAATTAGAAATCCAGATACTGTCGTTACTGTTGTCTTCCTGTTTGGGTTGGTAAGAGAAGCAGAGGGCGGTGAACTGACCTGCTGCTGAGGAGCTCCAACCCCCTCTGGGTAAAGGTGCCAGTGAGAGTGCAGATATCCTCCCGCAATTCGCAAATTCTTCACTGTTATGACAGAGCCATACGCCAGATCTGTGCAGAGGGAGGTGTAAAAGCTCAAGTGAAAAAAGAAACACAAGTAAATATGTTAAATATTGACCTTAAGATGTGCTTACACTCCGGCATGGAGGCGTTGTGGAGATTGTTTCCAATCAAGCGAGACTGGAAAGCAGAGCTGAAGAAACCGTCCCCAGGACCACTGTGTATGTAAAAGAAGGCTGTTAAAATTACATTTTATTGTATTAATTAGCAACTGCTTTTAGAATAGAACAGAATATCAATATTGGCTCAAACAGACCTTCTGTTTAAGACAATGAAGTGGACGGCAAATATTGTAGTGTACAGGAACAACGGGAGCATTATCAACCCGAAAACTCGAGCAAGTAAGTGCTTCCCAAAATCCACCTGGAGAAAAACAAGAAACTATTTTCAGCATACACTACCATAAAAAAGTGAGATTTAAAAAAAATAAATTAATACTTTTATACAATGCATTAAATTGATCATAAGCGATAGTAAAGACTTCTTTGTAAAGACTAAATAAATGCTGTTCTTTTGAACTTTCAATTCATCAACGAATCCTGGAAACATATATCAGCAAGGTAATATTAAGCAGCACAACAGTTTTCAACATTTATAATAATAAATTATTCTGGTGCAGAAAATAAGCATATAAGAATGGTTTCTGAAGGATCATGCGACACTGAAGACTGGAGTAATGATGCTGAAAATACAGATTTGCATCACAGGAATAAATTACATTTTAAAATGTATTAAAACAGAAAATTTCTAATTGTAATAATATTTCACAATATTACAATCATTTCGATTAAATTAATGGAGCCTTGTTAAGAATAAGAGACTCCTTTCAAAATTATTTTAAAAAATCTTTCCAAACCCAAACTTTTGAACAGTAGTAAATATTTGAAACTGTCAATCTTGAAACAGGTTCTCATTTATACCAGAGACAAGCTGAGGTCCCCAAGTAGCCTCCACAGATCAAATGCTGTGTTGATTCCCACCAAGAGTATGACAAATAGCCCCACAAACTTCACTCCCAGAGAACCAGAGAGGCAGACCCCCGTCAGAAGCAGCCAGAGCCACCAGGAGAAGCTAAAAGACCTGAAGACAAAAAAGACCATTTGCATTCCTGATACATTACGTTAACAAACTCAAACAATAAATCTACATAGAGAGATTCCTCCTCTACCTGAGTCTCTGTGTGTTGAATCTGACCATGCACAGAACAGAGCCCATGATGAAAAACATTAGAATGGGATCCAGGAGAATGTACTGAGACAAGGTGATGCAGCCAGTGTCTGTTGTAAAATAGACCAGTTGATTTAGATTCAGATTATCGTCGTTGAATACAGCTCTGTGTTGATGATCACTACCACACTCACCAAAAATAAGAAGAGAGGCTGCGATTAGCGCTGCTGGTGGAGAATGCGACAGCTCCATGACAATAAGAAAGGCAAAAGGAGGAAGGCAGGAACCCAGAGCTGCACAGAACTACAAAAAAAAAAGGATTAGAGCTTCCACTCAAAGAATGATTTGCATGGTTAAATTAAAAAGATAAATTAGATCTGGATTTAGTAATAGTCTGCTAAATTGTTAAACGTTGTTTAAATTAATACATTTTAAAAAAGCTATACTACAATATTTTTCTATAACTATATATATATATACATATATATACACACTAACTATATTTTTAATATATTCTTATATAAATAATCAACTTAAATTGTATAATATATATATTTGTGTTGGGCAATGATTAATCGCGATGAATCACATCCAAAATAAAAGTTTGTGTAAATATGTGTGTACGGTGTATAATTACTTTGTATATAAATACACACATGCATGTATATATTTAAGAAAAATTTGTTATTTATATATAAATAACACAAACTTTTATTTTGGATGCGATTAATTGTTGCCCAGCACTAATGTATATATATATATATATATATATATATATATCAATACTTACTATATATATTAACTATGTTTTCTTATTTAAATAACTTAAGTTTACATCTGTGCTAGAAATCTGCATGAAATTCATAGGGAGACAATTAAAGGTTTACCGCTCTCATTCCCCAGTAGTTATGGTGCTCATATTTGTCCCCTGGTTTTATGAAGGGAAAGGTGCCATCATAGCCTGTCAGATATCCAGCAAGGCCGATCAGCATCTGAGTGATGAGTATAGATTAAATCATCATTTTGAGTTACAAACTACACAAAAACTGACAAAATACCGTGATTGAGATTAAAGTGGAGCAACAGGGGTTTAAACGTAATGAAATCTCTACCTTTCCAAGGGGTGGATGGACATCAAAGAAGAAGGTGCGATTAATGTAATAACTTCCCATTTTCCCGAAATGAGTCTCATCCCAACTGCAATAATGGACCATAATATTTATTGATCGTGTATATTAAGGTTATTATCACAACTCTACAGATCTAATGCTTACCATACATGTGGAGGCTCAGTGATCTTGTAAAAGCGTGTACATACAGAGAACACAAGCACCAAGACCAAAGTATAAAATGGAACATGATCATCATCTCTGCAGGGAGAACTGAAGTGTCCTCCTCGCTTGGGGATCCTTTTATTTGTCCCGTTAGAAGGTTGGGAAAGGCATTCAGCACCCTCGTTTACCCTACATGTTTGTCGATGTCTTACAGCTGATGTGTGTTGTCTTTGTGAGTAAAGCTCCTTCGGTCTGCCGTCCATTAGCAGGTTTTTTGACGAAGACAATAAGTCATTATTAGAGTGGCAAATACACCATAAAGACAGTGCCTTCAGACGCATGGGTTTATGAACATTGAATCCTTACAGGATTTAAGATCTTGCAGCCTGGTCGTGGTGACATATTGCTGAATGAGACTTCTCTCCCATTGCATTCCAGATCATGTTTTTCGGGGGCTGTTCTAGATGGGGAAGTATTGGGAATGTCTGCACTTCACTGTCACCAGCTGGACAGGAGAGGCACATGCAGCCACAATAAATCCAAAGCGTGGGATTTTATATGATTTGACACATACATGGATAATAAAATGATGCATGGAAAATAAACTGTCGACAGTCTCAGTTAGGGCCAAGGGTAATTTCTCAGCCAGAATTGATGTGTGATTAATTTGCTATTGATTTGATTTGAGCACATCATAATTAATTAGATTTATTTTTTTTAAAGTATAATTGCTTGACATCACAGAAATAAATTACATTTTAAAATACATAAATATATATATATATAAAAATGAATTTTCATTAGCTACTACTGATTTGGCTGATTTGGTGCTCATGTAACATTTCTTATTATCAATGTTTTGCGGCTTAATATTTTTGTTGAAAGTGATGCATTTTATTTTCATGATTTTGTTTATGAATAGACCAATCAAACTGCATTTATTTGAAATATATATATATATTTTTGTAACAATGTAATTATTTACTGTATTTTTTTTTTATCCATTCCATGCATCCTTGCTGAATAAAAGTAATTTATCTCTCTCAAAATATCTTAAGGTTCTTGCACACTATACTACAGATCAAATGTGGTGGAAAACGACACGTCGATTGTTAAGGTCTAATATAAAAACCGGCGTTTTCTGCAGTCTAAGAAAATTATCCAATTTAATCAACATTGTTGTTCCTTTATTGAACATAACTGGATTTATAATGACTTTTTTTCTATGCAGATAGACAGTGGCCTATTACTCAGAATGTTCCAAGCAGGAAGATAAACAAATGTCAAGGTTGATTTATGGCTTGTCTGATTTTTTAGTGTATGAGTACAAGAAGTCAAGATTGAGAGGGTCTAATATACTATTTTTTAAAAACAGAGTGTCTATTTTAAATTTAATATGGAATTTAATTAACACACTAATTAGCAGGTGTAGTTTTTCTTTAAAATCAGTCTTTTACATGTTATTAATTTATGTGTATATATGTGTGTAAAATAAGGGTGTTATCCTCTGCTGTATACTACTACTACTATTTTAATAAAAATAATAACTGGCACAGATAAGATAGGATACAATAGTTAGGATTTTTATTAGTAGTTACGACCCAGAATTAGGCAAATAGGTGATTAACACATTCACAGAATGACAGCACTCATGAAGATAACATAAACGCAGACACACATACCAGGCTTATGCCTTGCACTTAAATCAGGAGTGGAACTATAATGTGCATTAACATCTTTTGTACTACTTCTGAAGTTCATGATCAAGTCCTTCAACCACTTCTGACCACTGCTGTGAAGAATCTACAAACAAGTGAAAAAGTCATTCTTAAAACTCCATTAGATGAGTGTATGGTCCGTTTGTATCCAGCTTTAGTACTTGTCGGTTTCCATACGTTCCATGTTTGACCTCTGTAACAGTGTCACTTTTCTTACAGGCTGAGAGTTCACTTTGACAGAGAGACACAAAGCTGTCGTAGAGCCTCAAACCTTCATCTTTCCCAATGTTGCCATGGTACTGCATCCCTTTTCCCTTTGGCTTTCCTCCAAGTGTGGCTTGTGGTACTATGAGAACACTGCCAGGTAGTGCAAGGACTGAGGTATACTTTCCAGATTCGTTCTCACAAAGCTTCATGTTCAGCAGAGTGTTCACTGAGAGGGGAAAAAGCAGTAAATTAAGCTATTGAATTGCCTAGCCCTAGCCTATTGTATTATATTTCAGAATTCATGCATTTTTATTGCAAATGTGAAGAGAATTTGCATACCCATCTTGGGGATAATATCTTCGGTTGCACCTTTGAAAAAGCAGATGTAGATAACCATTCCCCTGTTAATCTGAATGATCAGAAATACACTAGGTCATCATTTGGACAAAATAATAATAAATAAAAAAAATAATAAATTGAATTAATGAAGATTATTTGTATAATTATTTTTCTGCTACCTCAGCCCATTCAGCTTCACTCTCAGCATCTGGAGGTTTGACCTGCAGTCGCGCATGCAGACATTGCTGGAGAATCACTCGCGCTTTCATGTCGTTATCTGTTCTCTCGGACATTGCTACAAAATAAGACGAAATAAAATAAAAATTACGATTGCGATGAATGTGACCAATTTACTTCCGAGATAATATAAATAATATCTGTTTTGTTGCGTGACCTTTACCGTTTCATTTGTAATGGAAATGAACTCTGGAATTACAGGGGGTTCCGTTTCCGCGTGTGAATCCAAACATTATACGTCATCAACAGGAGACAGTGCAGCGCTACTGCACGACAGCTGCCATATATTTTGAACAACTGCACTGTCTTTGCAATCTTTACTGTTTTTTAAAGAAAGAAATTGGTGCTGCAGCGTAACCGAGTGCTTTAAACTGACACCACAGCGGTGGTAGTCTTTGTTTTGCTCGTGACATAGTCTGTGATCTTTATAAACCTGATAAGATGGTTCAATTACACTACAGCTACAAAAAGCTATTTCAAATATATAAATTTTCCTCAAATATTATAGGTACATCGCTATTACCTAGAAGATTTGTTCCATCACATCAAAATAGACATGAAATTCGCTTCAAGGTAAGAAAATGTCAGAAATAGATAACTTAGTGATTACATTGCCATTAGTATAATGCCATTACTATTATGCTTGCTTTGGTTTTGTCTCGTATGTTATATGATCACTGTCTGCCTGCCTGTTCATGTTGTTGTGTCTAGATTGTACATTTGTATCTGTCAACATTATGTAAAGTGTCCTTGGGTTCTTGAAAGGCGATATATTAATATCATTTATGAAAGTATTAATGTTGTATAGCATGTATTTTTCATAAAGATGCATAGACTCAACTACATTAAATTATAGACCGTAATAGTGGTGCATATGCTCACACTTTATTGTGTTAGACTTCAGGTGCTGGTGAACGAGCTCTACAGGAGAGACAGAGGCAGCACATGGCACGAGGTTTGCCAAAACAGAAGCCAATAGCTGGAGTGAAGGAGGTCATTGTTGTTGCATCAGGGAAAGGAGGGGTGGGAAAGTCCACAACAGCAGGTCTATTGTCTTTTGCATTCATTGACCTTTGTTTGTTTCATTCCACAATAATCTAACAATAAAAAAATATGCCTTTGGTCAACTGCCAATATTTCTCTGAAACACTAATTTAGTTGAATGTCTTCATAGTGAATCTTGCTCTTGGACTCATGGCTAATGATCAGGTAACGTACAGAATCCAGATAACCCAATATAAGCCACTGAATTAAATCCACACAATTATTGTTGCTGATTTGCCTTCAATAAAATCTTCTTTTATACCGCTTTTGCATGTAGAGTAAATCGGTGGGTCTTCTAGATGCTGATGTCTATGGCCCTTCAGTTCCCAGGTTAATGAACCTAAAAGGAAACCCTGAATTAACAGACAGTGAGTATTGTGGCCACATTTGCTTTGTAAACAAAAATCATTAAAATAATACAAATAAAAATGGTCGGTCAGTCAGTTAGTCAGTCATGTCTGATCCATTTTTCCTCTTTATTTTCAGATAACTTGATGAGGCCACTTGTAAATTTTGGAATTTCTTGGTAAGTACATTTCTGAATAATAGCTGTAGTGCAACAATATTATTTTATATAGACTACCATTTAAATATTCTGGGGTCGTTTGATAGAAGTATCTTATGCTCCTCAGCATGGCTGCATTTATTTGATCAAAATACAGTAGAACAGTAATATTGTGAATTATTATTATTATTATTATTACAAATTTAAAAAATATATATATATATATATTTTTTTTAATATATTTTAAATACAATTATTATTCCTGTAATTGCAAAGCTGAATTTTCAGCATCATTACTCCAGTCTTCAGTGTCACATGATCCTTCAGAAATAATTCAACTGATTTACTGCTCAAGAAACATTTATTATCATCAGGGTTGGAAACAGCTTAACATTTTTGTGGAAACCATGATATTTTTTTCAGGATTCTTTGATGAATAGAAAGTTTATTAAGAACAGCATTTATTTGAAATAGAAATCTATTGTAACATTATAATCTCTTTCTAACAATATATCTTTACTGTCACTTTTGATCAATTTAATGCGTCTTTGCTGAATAAAAGTCACTTACTGAATAACTGTCACTTTTGATAATCCATGCTGAATAAAATGATACAATTATTTTTAAAACAAACAAACAAACAAACAAAAAATCTTACTGACCCCAAACTTTTCAAAGTTCTAAGTTATTTTTATTGTATTTATTTTTTCTCCAATTTTTTTTGCATTTTTTTTTATGTCTTAAAGTTTGCTTCCCTGCCCTCTACAGCATGTCAATGGGCTTTCTGGTTGAAGAGGTGGCACCTATTGTGTGGAGGGGTCTGATGGTGATGTCAGCTATTGAGAAACTCATTAGACAGGTGTGTAATTTAAATTTAGAAATTGCTGTTGATAATGGGATTTATCAAATATATAATCGTGGCGAGCAGGACGAGGTCGAGGGCCGTGGGAGGACGGCGCGAGGCCGGTGGCGTGATTACTAATGAGCAACACCTGCTCGACGCACCGGTCTCTCACGGCCCTCGGCCTCGTCCTGCTCGCCACAATCATTTTTCTCCATGGTCCTCGTCCAGCACAAATAGATGCGATTTCTTCAAGGGAGTTCAATTTCCATTCATTAGCATATCTTAAATGAATGTGCATGAATTGGTGTGTCCATGCAAAAGTGTGTCCAATTTATTTAAAATTGTTGTTTCTTTCACTACTATAATGACTTTTCCCTTGCAGGTAGACTGGGGGAATCTGGATTACCTTGTGATTGATATGCCACCTGGAACCGGAGACGTCCAACTGTCTATTACTCAGAACATTCCTATAGCAGGTAAATAAACAAATGCAATGGCTGATTTATACTCGGAAAGAAGCATTTTACCTAATGTCAGTCACAACAAAGCACCATGGATTTTCAGATTTAGATTCTCATTTAAGGTTTGATTGTCATTTCTTCCATCAGGTGGGAGACAATTGGATACATTAACACTCTCTAGTATTCAGAACATTCATTATGAAATCAGTTTTACCACTCTATATCACAATCTAAGTAGTAATTGACAGGTTTATTCATTAAATGACAAGTCTTTCTGTATACTTTATGTGGGCTTATGTCGGTTCCACCTCTTAGGCGCTGTGATAGTGTCCACTCCTCAAGACATTGCCTTGCTAGATGCACGAAGAGGTGCTGAGATGTTCCGAAAGGTTAACGTTCCGGTAAAGCATTTGCTTTTCTATTTAAAGGGTTCTACCTTTTCATTTATTTATAGTTTAAAGTAATTACAGTGAAGCAATATGACAGTCACATTTAACTGATCAGTATCAGTATTTATTTATTGCTTTATAAATATAAATTTAAGTATGTGAATTGCTTTTTCAGGTACTGGGTTTGGTTCAAAACATGAGTGTTTTTCACTGTCCCAAATGCAATCATCAAACTCACATTTTCGGCTCAGATGGGGCTAAAGAGCTGGCTCATACCCTCGGTGTTGAGATGCTTGGTAAGATCATTCATCCAAATATATTACTTTATGATTGATTGTTTAGCATTTAAGCACATTTATCAAAAACTGTGACATTTACGAAATATAATACAAAAGTAAAATTGTTTGTATCTAGATTTGATTCAAGTGGATTAGCCAATCTCTGAGGACACACTGTTTCTCTGTTCTCACTGCAGGAGACATTCCTCTTCATCTTAACATTAGAGAGACATCAGACAAAGGACAGCCTGTGGTTGTGTCGTCCCCAAATAGCCCAGAAGTAAGTGGATCATAATGGACTCCTGTCTTGCTTTTCATTGTTTTCTATTATGGTAGTTACTGTAAGGCTTTCAGGATCTTTGGGTGGCAAAATTTGCTACAACACCACTTTGGTAGCATATATTGATAGATTTTTAATTCAAAATTTTAAACCATTTCAGTAGCATGTGTTTATTATAAAAATCTACGAATTTGTACAATTCAGAAACCCTTGTTGTTAGCGACATCGGTGGCCGTTAACTGAACTGCAGCCAGCAACTAATTGTTCGTGCTCTCACTCGTGCACGTAACGTACAAGAAACTGAACGTTAGTAGATGATTCAATGCCCTGATATTTGTATATATATATATAAATATATGTAAATACGTGTTGTGCCCTTTCCTCTCAATAACAAAATAAACACACAACAAAAATGACAGCAGTGAGAAAACAGCAGTTAAGAACTTCTGATCATAGCGATGTGGAGATGCTTGCACAAGCTCTGCAATTCACTGGCATTATGTCGACAGACAACATATGAGGTAAAATTACACAATTATAATGATAATATTTGAGACTATAGACTATATAGATTTGGCTATGTTAGACTAAAAGTTGAAAGAAATCTCCTTTTTGTGCACAACACTGATTGACATTACAGTACAAAATGGCTCTTTCGGTATTATCTGGAACATTGTATAAGCATTAATTTCATGTGACATAGAAGGGAAGAGAGGCTCTCGGGAATCACATCCTTTTGTTTTTCCCAGCAAAAACGTCCCCAGTCCTTCACATAAAAATCAGTCTACAGGCTTTTATGGACATTTTCAAGTTTCAAGTTTGTATTTATTTATATAGCACATTTAAAAACAGCAAACAGGGCTGACCAAAGTGCTGAACAATAGACAAGATAAATAACAAGGACAAACCACACTTTTTTTAAAGTTCCACATTTTTTAAAGTTCTGTTGCAAGCTGTTTACACATTGGCAATAAAATAAAGTAATTTATACATGAAAATTTCGTACATATAGCTCAATTAAATATAGGTACATAATGTATAATATAATATTATACTTGAATACTAAATTCTATTTCTCAAACCACTTGTGAGATAAATGGCACAAATGGCAATATAAATATTGTATAATATATATACATAATAAATTATTTACTTAAATGTAAATGCTCTTTGAAACTTTCTAGTTTGTGCCAAAATTTGGTTATAGGTACATAATGTATAATATAATATTATTATACTTTAATACTAAATTCTATTTCTCAAACCACTTGTGAGATAAATGGCACAAATGGCAATATAAATATTGTATATTATGCATAATAAATTATTTACTTAAATGTAAATGCTCTTTGAAACTTTCTAGTTTGTGGCAAAATTTTGTTATTCCTTAACGGTCATGCAGAAAATATATCACTGAACTACGATAATATGCCTTTAAGTACTTTGGTCGTAAAATGTTAAACTAACCAAACCAAGTTTCAGATTATTACAAGTAACAAGATTTAAAAAAAAACATTTATGAATTAATTTTTATAATATAATAACTAATCATTTTATAATTTTATAACTAATTCTAATATAGTTATGCATATTTATCTGTTTTGCAGGCCGAAGCTTACAGAAGAGTTGCAGCAGCAGTAGTACGGCGACTGCGAAGCATCCAAGTTAAATGACTTCCAGATTTAATCTAGTCTTGGTGACCTGAGGATAATGTCAGTATTGTATCATTGCCTCCTAATCAACTTATTTACCCATTTAAATTGGTATTACATGCCTATTAGAATGTTATCATTTATCTTATTTATACACAGACATACTGTTAATGTTATTTACAGGCATTAAAATAACTCATATTAATAAAAATAATTTAAAAGAGTTTGGGAAATCACAGATTTTAAGTTATTTTAAATTCGCTAATGTAGTGTCCCTTTAAGTGTGCAAATCTAAGATGTTTATCTTTTCCCACTAGAATAGTTGTTTACCCGGAAGGAACTGAGATAAAGCGCAAATTTAGTGCTGCTTCAGTCAATGTCAACGATGTGTCTTTCTAGACTCAACATAAAGATGGTCATTACAGGTCTTAGCCACTTGATGGCACTGCAAATGTATTCATACATCTTATTGTGCTTTGTGTTTGATTTATAGTGAAACAAGCTAAATTAGGTCTTTCAGTTAAACTGTGACTTTTCCTATTATGATAGTTAACATGATTGGACTCTTACTTAACTCCATTTAATAAAGAAAAATGGTTCCAGCCCAGTAGGAAAGTGGGATGAAGTTTTCACGGGATGAGAAAAACAGGGTCACTTCCTGCATATTTTCAGAGCTCCCTTGACTCAGCTGAAACAGCCGTATTCAGTCCACCCCTGTGTAACAGGCCAGACAGACCAGTCTGTGATTCATCACCGCAATGAAGCTATTCTGCTTTCTTTTAGTCTCAATTGCTTAACTGTTCCCAGAAGACCGACCCCGGGGTTTCAGCTGTACAATGACCTCAGCTGAATTTGGACAGTTACACATTTGGTGTTATTTATTCTCTCTTTGTTTTCGCGATTAATAAAGCGCTATCCCGATAAAGTGCTTTGTCTGATGTCACTGAGTGCAGTGGTGTGACTCACACTGCCATGAGTGTGTCATTGAGGTGTGTAAAAGGGCAAATAAACATCCATTCATATAGAGATGTGGAATTCACCCAAATTATGTTTGGGATTATTGTCCTGGAAAGGGAATTTCACAATGAATTGGAGAAAATTGAAAAAATGAACCAACCAGCTGATCCTAGTTCAGACAACTTCCACTATGGGTTTTTGGAGACTCGATGGCATATTCAGATTACTTAACAAGCAACATGAATGAGCATGTTTCAGGTAATTCCCAGTTTTGCTGGAAATGGACTTCTAAAACATGTCCCAGTGTCCTTGGGGTGTTATCAGTGACATTATAAAAGCAGACTTTGCCCCATGTGGTAAATACGGCTTATAGCTCCCAAGGCTATGGGGAAAAAAAAAAATCAATAATTAAACGGGGTAGCTGTGGAGCCCAAGAGGACAGTCTTATTTCTGTGTCATCTTTGATTCATGAGCAGATACTGTTAATAAGATAAGCTGAGGTGCAAACGAGAGATTTAAGGAGAAATCACTTCTTCTTTTTTTAATGCATTTTGCTCAAGAAAGATCACATGGAATCCATGTTGTTGGTCCCGTGGCTGTAAATTGTTCTATTTACATTATTTAGAGTAAAACGGAACACATTTTTTCAGTCAGATCCACGATCAAATGACCATCAACTATCACTGTAAGTTAACTGACACAATATTTGAACTATAGTAAGCTCTCTCTGCATCCTCATGTACATGAAGTCTTCATGGCTAAAGTATTGGCTTCATGGCTGTATATTGGCTGAAATTGAGATCTGCACATGTATAATAAAAGACATATGTATAATTGATTAAAATTATGTAAGGTACATGCCTTTTGAGGCCAAGGTTTTCAAGTGGTGCTCACTGCAGCTCCCCCTCTCTGGATGTCATGGGTTGAGCTTGACCTAGTCCAGCTCCACCTCTTTGGATCTAATGGGTGGAGGGACAGAGTTATGGGTAGGGTTAGGGTGTGTTTGGAGCTTCTAGCTCCACCCATTACACCTACATTACATCCAGAGAGGGGGAGCTGGATTTCATGCTCCACCCATGGCTCTGCAATGAGCAGCCTAAAGGTTTTTCAAAGCACATATATAAAACTGAAAAATGAACCAACCAGCTGATCCTAGTTCAGACAACTTCCATCCACTATCTGTTTTTGGTGACTCAATGGCATATTCAGATTTGAATATGACAAGCAACATGACAAGCAAATATTAACAAGCAACATGATTGAGCATGTTTCAGGTAATTCCCAGTTTTGCTGGAAATGGATTTCTAAAACATGTCCTGTAAAACATAATGTTGCCATGTATAATATATCTTCTTTAATGCTATATCTTGGGACCTGATTCTAAAACATCAGAACACTTTCAGAATTTTTTTTTGCAAACATTGTACCAATTGTACGGATATAACTGTGTGTAACTGGGGCAGCATCCTTAAAGGAACAACTTTGCATCTTATTTACCCCTAAAAGGGCCAAGTATACGGGTACATATATATATATATATATATATATATATATATATATATATATACCGTAATTCCTCAAATAAAGACCGGTATTCAAATAAACGCCGGGCCTCTGATAGTGGCCGGGGGCGTGGTCAACGCGGACAAATAAAGGCCGGTCTCAAATTAAGGCCGGGGAAAAAATAGTGTGAATAGGTACACTTTAAATGAATGTACACTCAAAGACGGACGCGCTCAGCGCTTGTCATATATCACAACTATTAAGTGTTTTTAACCACATGTTTATTTTAGGTTTCAGACATTTAAATAGATATGATTTATAGCAAAACAATAAATGTATAGTTTGTAAAATACACAATGGTGTCTATGGAAGCAGCAATAACAATCCATTCAAATATATTTGGCGACGTGTTTTATTCATATCAGATACACAGTGTAAGTAACTATAAAGTTTACTCTATTCTTCTCCCAGTTCACCGGCCACTTACTTTCATGTATTTCGGGAGAAACTGAAGAATTCACGCGCTGTAACTTAACAAATACAACAGGAATCTCCGAACTGCGGTGCCCATCTCACGTTACAGATCAAGATCATTTATAAAGGGTTTTAAACGACAAAACAAACTCACTTACACGGATTTGAGAGTCAGAATAGAAGATAGTTGATGACATGGTAAGCAAGTTTGTTAATATTTAGAAATAAAAGCGCTACATCTGTCATATAGCGCTATTTTGGCTGTGGTGAACACGTGCCAAGCATGACGCGTCACCATGGAAACTTGGCTGGCGGGCGGGCGGGGATCGCGAATTAGAAATAAAGGCCTGCCTCTAATAAAAGCCTGCTTCAAATAAAAGCCGGCTACCATCTGCAGTTCAGGTAAATAAAGGCCCCGGCCTTTATTTGAGGAATTACGGTATATATATATATAATACACGTTACATATATATCTATAATACACGTTACATGTATTTATTTTAGTAATAACTATAAATTATGCATATTTCCATGCAACTAACCCTGAACCAAACACGTATCCTACCCTAACTCTAGTAAGTTTGTTAATTAGTATTACTCAGTACTTAAATGTATAATTACACTGTAACAGGGACACATTAAAATAAAATGTAGCCTAACCTTAATTTGTTATTAATTAGTTTTTGAAGTGTGCCCCATAAAGATAATTTTTTATTCACATTTATTTCCTGAGAGTGCATATAGCAGTCAATACTTTGTATATTCACCATGTTGAGCTTTTTATTTATTCTGTAAAGTGGGATCATCTTTTCTCCACCTGTCAGCTTAACTAAAATATCAAAATATCCCAATGAAGTTCTTCCCATTGAAAATACTCATAGGAAGCAAGCTCTTGAATTCTTCAGAACTTATTTAATTTTTCATCCTAGCTAAAAAACAGCATTTTTAAGCTTTAGATTTTAAGATCAGAGAGACATTTTGACAATATTCCACATGTGGCTCTACTTATTTGCATGATATCTCTTCTCCTCAGTGACCCGGAAACCCAGCCCTTCCCACAATCCTAAGCGTGGATCCATGGCAATGTATGTGCTGCTGCTCAGGCTAAATAGCAGCAGCAGCTGGTTCCAATTGCACTGCAGCACAAGGGAACAGGAGAGGAGGATAGGAGGGAGAGGAGGATAGGAGGGAGGGCGATGTATGCTTAAAGAAGCGCCTGTGAGTTGCTTTTAACTCTCTAGCATCATGGTCTTCTTTACAATACACTTTGGGGGCATCTCTATAAGCAATATTAGCCGTATAAAACTATATCATAAGAAGTAGTTTGTGTAGTTGATCAGGTACTGAAATATATATATAAAAAAGAACTTTGGGGGATACCCTTCCTGAACATTTACCTAAGTGCTTGGCTATTTTAGATAGCACTAAATCCACACAGCGAGGACTAGCCCAATCTTGCACAATCAGGCTTCACACAAAGGGTGTGGACACCAGAGCTTCTCAGCAAGACTGCTAGCACAGCTGACGGTGAATTGCAGATCTGAGGGGTGTTGGAAGGAGATTGGGGGGGGAGGTAAATAATTCATGATGTAAAAAAAAAGAAAAAGAGAGGGAAGGAAGGAGATTTAAAGGAAGGCACTGCCAGACATATTAGTGAGGTTTGATGCTGAGCGTTTGATGTCCACATGTTTGTGTTTTGTGAGCAGTAGCTGCCTTAATGAACATGACTTACTGCTGATCTGCATACAGCCTGTGTTAGGGAAGTTCAAGCATTACTGAATTCTGTTATAGCATGACAACTTAATATATAACAATAATAAAAACATCTCAATTAGTACTTTAGAATCATTGCTTTTATTGTTGACTAAAACGTTTTCGGTAGTTGAAATAAAAGCAAATAGAAATAAAAAATGTTTTTTTCTAAAAGTTGAATGAATGAATGAATGAATGAGGCATTTATATAGCGCTTTCATATGTTCAACAGTTAAAAGTTCAACTAAAATGAAAAAAAAATAAAAATAAAAGCTAATTTAAAATATGAATAAATACTGCAGTAGTATTTAAATAACACCAAAATACCACGGTTTTGAATCCAGAATGACACAAAAATAGTTTCAATGGAATATTTTAAAATGATTGTTTTTAGAGGAAGTGATGGCTGCATGTGGCTGATGGCAGTACAATTTGAATGTCAAATCCAGACACAATTATGACACTGTGATGAAATTCATTCGGCAGTCTTTTATATCATTGTTCAACAACAAAGAGAAGCTTTGGATAAAAGAGGCATATGTAGTCAAACTATCTGATTTATGGTCGTGATTTACTAAGGGCAGACCCAAAAGAACCCTGAAAAAATGTATCATGTTTCTTGAGCACCATAATGAGCATATGACAGTGATTTCTGAAGGATCATGTGACACTGAAGACTGGAATAATGTAGCTTTGTCATTACAGGAATAAATACAATTTTAAAATATATTTAAACAGATATTTTAAATTGTAATATTATTTCACAATATTACTGTTTTTACTGTATTTTTGATTAAATAAATGCAGCCGTGGCGAGCATAAGAGACTTATACAAACTAACAAATATTTTTGAACTTTTGAATGGTATATATGCAGTACGAAAATATGTAATATTAGAATGGGAATGACTTGAAGCAAACAATGACGGTAAAATAATTCTACCCTCTAAAAATGAAAACATATAGTTTTTTATTAATAGTGGTACCACATTTACAACCTGCACGTTTCATTGCACTTTCTTTAAACAAAAATGTTGTTAACCACATGACAAAACAATGATTTCAGACCCAAAGTGGTCGGATTTACCATTTGCATTTCCAAAAGAAGAAACTTGACATTTGTGTTGTGTCTCGGGACAGGGAGGGGCTGGCTGCTGACCACAGTAGGCGTTGTCTTGGGAACAGATGTGCTCTAGACAATAGATTTGTTGAATAGAGAATTATTTTATAAAACACAAGCACATCAAACACAAGAGAAGCAGCAGCGTGGGCTGACCCACTATCATTCCCACCCATGTAGTTCTGCAGGTTATAGTAGCAGAGGATCCTTTTGCCTGACACACATATTTTATTTCAAAACCTTTTTAGAACACTGAAGGGGTATGTGGTTATTCACTGATTTAAGATATGCTAGTTTCAACTGAAACTCAAAGATAAAGATTTAGTATTTAAGTTTTTATTTGAACTAAAGTATAATAAAGGCTTAAGCACAGGGCTGTGAAAACCCAAAAGGTATGGGTTGGTTAAGATCAGTAAACAATAACCTCTGGGTCCAAAAAAACAACTGTATAGACTATAGATGTTTGCTAAGTTCATTATAGTGTACACACTTGCTAAATGAACACTCATATTGACATATTGATGGAGTAAAGGTATGACGAACTATAGTTTATGATAAAAGCTGGGTTCAGAAATGGTTTTAAATTTAACTTTAGACTTTGTGCCAAATCTTTCCATAACAATAGATAAAAATTGTGCAAACAGGATAAGACCGGCCTTTCTAATCTGTGGTGTCATTGAAATAGCAGCTGAGCCTTCAGACCAGACCAGGACAACAGAGCTTCAACTTCCAGCTCAACTGGTTTAAATAATGTAAAATAGAAGAGGAGTGCAATAAAAATATTTCACAACTTAAAATATGCAAACAAATATTTATTAAAATACATAATTTGAAGTAAAGACAGGCACTTAAAAAAAAACAACTTTAAATGGTAGGCCACTATTTGAGAACAGAAAAAAATCCATAGAAAAGGCCCAAATAAATGAAACAACTTCAAACTTAACCAGCAACCTTGAAGCAAAACGTTAGTGGTATTTCCAATGCTATTTAGCCTACTGCTATTTCCAGTCAACATCAATCGTAGATAGGCTAGATAGATAGGTAGATAGATAGATGGAATCGATGCATTTTTGTAATGCTTTATTCCTTGCTTTTACTTACTTATTTTTTGCTATAGCATAGATCACATTAAGATATTACAAAATCAGAAAGTATTAACTAACATGATCCTGAGAGGCAATCGTGAGCGCGCGTCGTGCCCCCGCGGTGAGCGGAATGGAAAAGTTAGTGTGGACTGTGGAGAGAGTGAGTGAGAGCCGGATCTATCCGTCGCCATTACTGACTGGAATGAGAGGGGAGGGGATGGCTCTCCGATTGCACGCATACCACTCTTACTGCTAAAAGACTGAAAACAACCACTTTCGGGAAAATTTGCCGATTATTCCAACCACCCACGGGAAACACAACAAAACTGGGATTTGTTTCGGAATAGCATCCGTTGAAATTAAAGAAAATAGTTGGAATGCCACCTCCTATCTGTGGTGTCGGGAGCTGGGAGCGACCATGTTAGGTAGGGGAATGCACACGGAGTATGTGACTTTCTAGCACGCTTTTGTCGTTTGCTTTACTGAATTTGGTTGAATGTGTGATTGTTTTTTCTATGTGTAAGCGATAGTTGTGTACCTTTATGTAATTGCACAGATTTGTCTGTCTCGCCTACAGTGTGTTGTGTCGGTGTCACACTTAACTAGCTCTGGCTAACTGGGAAGCTAGCAAGCAAAGGAGGCATCTAATGCCTTGTTAGGAGCAAGGCCCGGGTCGATGCGAAAAAATAAGCATATTAACACACATTAAACTGACCTAAATCGCCTTGTTATTTAATATAACAAGCGCGTGTGTGTAATTAATTTGCTGCGATAAAACTACTCTGACGTGAAAATCAAATCCTGGGATTTAAATGCTGTGATTAACGTTAACGTTACTGGGTTAAGGTGTTTCGAAGTAAATGATACACAAATTCTTGCCAATTTGGACCTCCCATTCAGTTCGTTGTCATAGCAATCATTATGAATAATTCACTCGACTAGTTCTGGGAATCGTCGCGTCCACATCTGATCGCAGTGTGGTTCGCGACTCGCCGTAACAATAGCGCTGCTGCTCGCGTGCTGGTCGGAATTCCTTCTCACCTTCAGCAGATGCTTGTGTCTGCTATACATCCTCGCGCGTGAAATACAGCCCGCAGTCATTTACAAACGCTTCTGGACACTGATGTCCAATGTTTCCGTGATTTAACGCTCGTGAGGTCCAGTCTTTGATGTCCCCGTTGCGGCCGTTATTTATGACATTTACAACACAAAGGGTTAATTCGGTTAAAATGATTGTTTTGTCATCATATACGCTCCATAACAAAAAATTGCGAATAAGAATATTTCAAAAAGTGTTTTCCAGACCCGGAAAAATTAAGTCATGGACATTTCAAAAGGCATATGTTGAGCTTTTGCAATATTTCACCAATTATGATCCTTTGTAGAGTGAATCGATTTGGGAGCCGATTGTTCTTTTGAGTCGGTTCAATTCAATTGGTCAACCCGGTTTACAAGATAGTCCAAAAGATTCATTAGAGAATTTGTGCGAATCTAAATGTCCTTTAAAAGTCTTTCCCCCGTTTTGACAAGGCTTCAGCCTAGTCCCAGACTGAAATCCATGTTTGAGCTGTTTTAACTGAAAGCAGCTTGCACGGACATATCTTAAAATGTCAGTGACATTTTTATCTCAAGATGCATACCAGTAATATTTTTCTTTTTCTGCAGCACGTTTATAAAAGCTACTTAAATGCCATAATTGAACTAAGGCCTAAACCTGGCTTAGTTTAAGCCCTGTCTGTGAAACCGAGCCTTTATCCAGTAATGATAAATTACTGAAATGGTATGGGAATTCATTAGTTAAAAGTTTGTATGACTATATTTCAACTGTGGAGCACAGAATGACAGCCTCAGTTATCATTCACTTTCATTATGTGGAAAACCGTTGCAATGAGAGTGACTCAGGCTGTCATTCTGTCTAACATCTTCGTTTGTGTTTCACTGAAAAAAATAAAGTCATACAGGCTTGGAATGGCAGGAGTAAATGATGACACAATTTTCATCAAAGCATCTCATACTCTTTTAAAAGATTCACTTCTGGCTTTACATTGCCAAATGTTGAGTAAATGGATATTCAGAAGTGGTTATAGTTATACTATCAGTGCCAACACTGAATTTAATGGCATTTATAAAATAATTTCTAGCAGTTATTTTGTTTATCATGAACAGATTGCTCTTGAGTGTAGATTAGTTAATTTGTTGCCTTATTTCTACTGACAGAGGCATTTATTTATCAGCTCAAAGCTTGTCACTGCTGATGACAAGCATAGCTTTGCACATAAAAAAAAAAAAAACACTGGGGTACATTCAATAAAAGTGTATTCCAGTGAATGAGCTTGTGCCACAGTATCACTACTCCTACTTATATTAAGATCAACCAATGCTTGAGCTAGCTGAACATTCATGGTACAGGAGGTTAATGAATCAGATTTGTGAAGTGGATCGTGACATTTTGGGATAGTTTTGTAATGCATTATATTAGTAAATGCAATAATATTACCATTATAAACAGTTCTGCCATGCTTAAATTTCAGCTGTCAATAATTATGTTGCTTATTATGCAAGGCAACAATTTTGGTTGTTTGTATTGTGATTGTGTCTAGGTTGTTAACAAGTTATCAAATGCAGAATATTAAATGATCAGTGTTCTGCTATTGTAAACTTTAAGCTTTATCTTATTGTTGACTAATTTAATATTTTTGTTTTGCAGGTAGGTGAAAGGAGGGGAAAGAGCAGTCGTGTGGGACAGATGATCCAGATTAAAGCTACATCGGCTCATTCAAAGTGAGACATGGAAATGTGCCTGCACTAGCAAATGGAAGTACATGCTTGCCTTGCCGGCATACTTTGCTTAGTGTAACAAGCAATGAGAGGGGCAATATAATGGCCAAGAATAAGGAGCCCCGTCCGACATACGCTGTCAGTGTCGTTGGGCTCTCAGGCACTGAGAAAGAGAAGGGCAACTGTGGTGTAGGTAAATCCTGCCTATGCAACAGATATGTACACCCCAGTGCGGACTGCTACTACTCAGAGCACACTTCTGTGTTGAGCACAATTGACTTTGGAGGGCGTGTGGTGAATAACGATCACTTCTTATACTGGGGTGAAGTATTACATCGAGGGGATGATGGCCTTGAGTGTAGAATCCAGGTCATCGAGCAGACTGAGTTCATCGATGACCAGACCTTCTTGCCTCATCGGAGCACAAATCTGCAGCCTTACTCAAAACGGGCTGCAAATACGAAGCTTCAGTCTGCTGAGAAGCTGATGTACATTTGCACAGACCAGCTTGGGTTGGAGCAGGATTTTGATCAGAAGCAGATGCCTGATGGCAAGCTCAACATCGATGGCTTTGTATTGTGTATCGATATAAGCAAAGGATGCAATAGAAAATTCGATGACCAGATGAAATTTGTCCACAGTCTTTATTCTCAAATTTCCAAGGCGAAAAAACCCGTAATCATTGCTGCAACGAAATGTGACGAATGTGTGGAGCAATATCTGAGGGAGGTTCAGACGTTTGTTACAGGTAAAAAGAATCTAATGTTGGTGGAAACATCAGCTCGATCATCTGTGAACGTGGAACTTTGTTTCAATGCTCTGACACAGCAGATGGACAAAACCCGAGGTAAACCCAAAATCATCTCTTATTTGGAAGCATACAAATCCCAGAGACAATTAGTAGCTTCTGTCTCAGACAAGTTTGAAAAGCTCATTGTTCAAACTGTCCGAGATTATCACACAAGCTGGAAAATTGTCAGCAATAAGTTGAAAAGCCACCCAGACTATGAAGAGTACATCAACTTAGAAGGCACCAGAAAGGCCAGAAACATCTTTTCAAAGCACATAGGACAGCTGAGACAAGAGCATATCAAGAGGCGGCGTGAGGATTATCTTACCAGTCTGCCAAAAATTCTTAATAAGTTGCTTAACAACCTGGAGGAAATTGAGACGCTGAGTTGGACTGAGGCTCAGAGCCTTATGAAGAGCAGGCCTGAGTTTCAGTACTGTTTCATTGAGTTAGAACAAACGCCATGGTATGAGACCGACCACCTCGATAAAACTGACGACAGAAGAGTGCCCTTCGATATCCTCAAAACCATGGAAGGAGAGAGGATTTATCAAAACCACGTCCAGCATTTGATATCTGAGAAGAGGCGGTTGGAGATGAAGGAGAAATTCAAGAAGACGCTGGAGCGAGTGCATTTCATTAGCCCCGGCCAACCGTGGGAAGAGGTCATGTGCTTTGTCATGGAGGATGAGGGGTACAAGTACATCACTGAATCAGATCGCAGGGATGTTTACAGTCGGCATCAGCAGGAAATAGTTGAAAGGGCCAAAGAGGAGTTTCAGGAAATGCTTTTTGAGCACGCAGAGCTGTTCTATGACCTCGATTTGAATGCGACCCCAAGCTGTGACAAAATGAGTGAGATTCATGCCGTACTTAACGAGGAACCTAGATACAGAGCTCTCCAGAAACTCGCCACAGACAGGGAGTCACTTTTACTGAAACACATCGGGTTTGTCTATCACCCCACAAAAGAAACATGCCTCAGCGGCACGGCTTGCATCGATCTCAAAGTCGAGCAAATCCTCGCCAACAGGCTAGTTCAGCTGGATCATGGCCGCTCTAATATCTACTACAACAGTGCCAACATTGAAAAGGTTAACCTGTGTCTCGTAGGCAGAGAAGGATTGGCGCAGGAGCTCGCAAATGAAATCCGAGCTCAGTCCACTGATGATGAATACACCCTTGATGGGAAAATCTATGAATTAGACCTTTTGCCTGTGGATGTCAATTCTGGCATGCTTTTGAACCATTCCTGGATATCGACTTTCAAGCCCCATGGGTTCTTTTGTGTCTTCAGCTCTATAGAGTCGCTTAATTACATTGGTGACCGCATAAGCCGGATACGAGCTGAGATTGCCCAGAGCAGAAGGGATAGGTATAGCCAGCCAGTGCCATTCATTCTCATTTTAGCAAATCAGCGCGACAGTATTTGCAAAAACATGCCTATTTTAAGGCATCAGGGCCAACAGCTTGCAAATAAGTTACAGTGTACTTTTGTAGATATACCCACCGGCACTTTTCCCAGGAAGTTTAATGAGTCTCAGATAAAACAGGCCCTCAGAGCTGTGTTGGAGGGATTGAAGCACAATTTCGACATGATGAACCCCATGCCCTCAATTAAAGATCTGTCTGAGACAGATTTGCGGATAGTCATGTGTGCCATGTGTGGAGATCCATTTAGCGTGGATCTCATTCTCTCACCGTTCCTGGACTCACATTCCTGCAGCGCCGGACAGCCCGGGCAGTGCAACACGTTGATCCTTGACAAAATCATCGGCAACAGTCGCAGACGCATACAGGTCACTGTGCTCTCCTACCACTCCTCCATTGGAATCAGAAAGGACGAATTGGTGCATGGTTACATTCTTGTTTACTCAGCAAAACGAAAGTCTTCCATGGCTATGCTGAGGGCGTTCCTGGCTGAAGTCCAGGATGTCATTCCAGTTCAAATGGTGGCCATTACGGACAGCCAAGCAGACTTCTTTGAGAATGATGCGATAAAAGAGCTGATGACTGAAGGGGAGCACATTGCCACGGAAATTACTGCTAAGTTTACCGCTCTCTACTCGTTGTCCCAGTATCACAGGCAGACAGAAGTTTTCACGCCATTTTTCAATGAAGTCCTCGAGAAGAAGAGCAACATCGAAAGCTCCTTCATGTTCGACAACAGCAGGGACGGAACAGGCACCGGTGAAGATGTCTTCCCGCAGTCACCTCATAGCCATTCGCCTGCATACCAATACTACCCTGACTCCGAGGATGATGGGGAGGGACCGCCACCTTACAGCCCGATAGGCGATGATGTGCAGCTGCTGCCTAATCCTAGTGAACGGAAGTACAGAATTGACCTAGAAGGAAACGAGTACCCGGTTCACAGCACACCTCTTGGTGATCACGAGCGTAACCACAAAGTGCCTCCCCCAGTAAAACCTAAGCCTAATGTGTTGCCCAAACCCAATGTTAAGAAGCTGGACCCCAACCTTCTGAGGACCATTGAGGCTGGAATGAGGAACTCCAGGAGGACGCGAAGTCCAATGATGGGTCACGGTGATGACCTTGAAGCATCCGACAACTATGCAGAGCCGGCCGACACTCTTCTCAAATTCAAAGGCTTTAGTGATGACATATATGCAGTACCGGAAGACGCGCACAGTAGATCTGGCAAGATCCGCAACTCGTTTGGTGGACTCGCTCTGCATGGGGATGAGGAGAACGGCTTTGACTCCATGTCTAAATCTCAGGGTGGCAGAAGACCTTCTAAGTATAAACATCGTTCTAAGATCCTCTTCAGCAAGACAAAAGCTTATCAAAGACGAGTGCACTCAGATGTCAGTGACGATGAGTCGGGGCCTGCAACGCAGAAGAAGAAGAAAGGAAGGGGTAACCGAGGAAGTGAAGAAGATCCCCTTCTCTCACCAGTGGATCCTTGGAAAGGAGGGATAGACAATCCAGCCATCACATCTGACCCAGAGCAGGATGATAAGAAAACGAAGAAAAAGAAAGCACCAAAGATCAAGGAACCCAAAAAGGTGAGCTGGTATTTATTTATTTTTTTATGTACTCAATTATTATTTAAAACTCAAAGGATTTTGAATCATATAGGATTAGGTACCACATTGACTAATATTATAGTATATATCTAATAAAATATATATATCTTAAAAAACAATTATAATTTAATAAAACTTTTAAATAGTAAATCTCCAAATTTAATATACATTTTTAATACTGTATATTATAATGTTGTGATTCTTGAATTCAAATTCAAATGACTAAGTTTAGGTTTTAGTATTTAATTTCATTTAGGATATTTTTAGTTTTTAGTTTTGACAAAATAGCATATAATTGTAATATTATTTGCCAGAATTGTCATATCTGTGCATCCTTTAAACGATTTCCAAAAGATGTTATATTATTTCTAAGATTCAGATTCTTAAGAAGATCATTATAGAAAATAATTTCCAACATTCTCCTATTTAAATGCTAATAGCAGGCACATTGAAACGTGATTGTCGTCAGTATGCATTGTAGTGATCATAGAATATAATGTGTTCTCTTTTCTCAACAGGCAAAGACAATAAAGACCACAAAGCCATTGTACCCACCAACTCGTAGAAATTGGGAGAGCAACTATTTTGGGGTGCCTCTTCAGAACTTGGTCACTCCTGATAGGCCCATACCTTTGTTTATTGAGAAGTGTGTTGACTACATTGAGCGAACTGGTAAGTTTCCTGGTTTTCTAAAGCTGAATAACCAAATAGCATCTGAAAATGTGTAAAACTCTCTTGTTAGTTCTCCGTTGGAAGGCTGATTGAGAATTATATCTTTCTTGAGTTTGCAAGAATGAAGTGATATGTTTTAGTCATTTTTGTTCTTGGCATTTTTTATTTAGTAGATTGCAGTTTTAGTAACATTTACTAAAAATTGGTCCTTCCTGGTCCTGAGGTGCTTCACTGAAAATTGTACATTTGCGTGTTTCACATTCCATACTTTGTGTGCCTGATACAGTCTATATTTTAAAGCACAGGAAATTCTGTATTCGGTTCAAATACCATCGAGTAAATGAATGAAATCCATTACTATGAGGTAATAAATTCTGACACAACAGGAAGTTGATGGGCAGGGGAGGAAGAAGTCAGTCTGGTAAATGATTGAATGGATTTTTATGACACATGTTGGGATGATGATCTAATTTTACCCAGAGCACTTTGTTCAGTTGTTCAGTGTGGTTTGCATTTTCATGGACTCTGCAAATGATGTGTAAACACTGAGGCCCAGCATATATCATAGCCACGAGTGGGTTTAACATAATTTCTGGACATACTTAGCATTTTTGGATTCTAACAAAGTCTGCTTCATATGCTTAAAGCAGTGATAGAGGCCCTTTTACTGTGGCTGTTTGTTTGGTTACAACATGCCCTTCAGTAGCTTGTTCTTTAACTGTGGTCAATGGAAACTTTGACTAACAATGCTGTCAATAAGCCCAACCGACCCGTAATATAGCTTGAGGTTTCATTAGCGAGTAGGTGACACCCACATACTGTCGTTCAGGTTGGTTGTGGCTATAGATCAGTGAAACTCATGCATGGATGACATGCATTGATGTGTTTTCTTAAGGAAATTATTAAGCTGCTCTTTGTGGTTGTGGTTTTTATGGTGAGTACTGGAAGTGGGCAAAGTGTCTGTGGTGAGTGTAATACTAGGCCAATTTGCTGGTTGGACTGGTTTTGATTTGTGTATGTGTGTCCGTACACCCGTAAAGCCTAGTATATGTGATGATCCGAAACACTGTTTTTATTTTTTATTTTTTATTTTTTTGCTGATCTCATGTTTAGATCTCACATAGTGCTGTGTGCACTGTTAATGTGCAGGACTATTGATTAGTTGGTGAGTGGCTTGATTTTCTTTGTGACATGCAGGTTTGTGGACTATAGGGAAGCATTTAGCACTATCATTTAGCTTTACAAATTGGGGTAATTTATAAAATTATAAAGCCACAATAAAGTTTCTAAAATTCTAAGCCGATTAGGCTCAGTTATTTAATGTCATTGCTGATGGCAGATAAATGGATGCTATGAAAATTCTACACAATTTTGTCTAATAAACTAAAAGACTAAAAATTTAAATCAGGCATTTTAAATGATTCAGATGACAACATAACATGTACAATATTAAAAATGTACATTTAGCTGTGGATGATATAAAAATTTCACAAATAAATCAATGAATTATTTTCATGTTATGGCCGATAAACAGATAAATGGATGATTTTAAAAATCTATACAATTTTGTCTAAAATAAATAAGTCTAAAAACTAAAATCAGGCATTTTATAAATGCTACAAGTGAATTTAGGTATCACTACATTATAATGTACAGTATGAAAAATAATAATGAGATTAGATTTAACGGTGAATCATTAGTGTTTTTTTAAATATTAGCTTTAAGTGATTGCTAGATGTTGGCGAAGGTAATCTAAATGTAGAAAAAGATAAATGAAAATGAACTCGAGAGGAGCATTTTACTAAATATATGCTTTTTTATTACATATTCATTGTGTTTACTTAACCTGTTCTTTAATATAATGTTTGTATAAATCTGTCAGGAAAACAAGTTTTTATCAAATGTTTAAACTGTGTAAATGTTTATATTAAAAAAATGAATAAACATTATTACATCATTAAATCATTATTACATCAATTGTTAATTTTTAATACATTTATTTTCCTTGAGAAAAATAGACATGTACTGTACCTGATATATATCCAAATGAATCAATATCGAATAGAATTTAATTGAAATCAGAATTGGATCGAATCACAAGCTTGTGAATCGAATCGTGAAATTTGTCTGTCCAGCCCTATAAATGAGCATGAAAAATGATATCCAATAACAACCAATATATGAACAATATTGACCAATACTGAATATTAGAATATAGTAAATATTAATTATTAATAGTCAGTATTAATATTAAATATTTATTTTATTTGTGCTATCACTTTAAGATCAAGCCATATGGTCTGTGGTTGAATCTGGGCCTTTTTTGGTTTCCCCTGGAATGAGATGAGATGGCACATTGTGCCCGTGGCTGCATCTGAGCATCGCGGCGCTCTGTTTAAGAGCTTTTTGAAAGCATCTTGCTTCACAGAGCTGTGCAGATGAAAAGGTTCATCAAACACCCTGCCCCCCAAGCCAAACGCTCACTCCCTCCCATTTATGCCCCTCTATCTCGCTCTGTACTGCATTGTGAACCCCAGAGGAAATTATAATACTTGACTCAATTTTTTTCTGTGGTCAAAAAAGTAGTCCAACAATCCACTCCTCCAAACATGGTGTATGCACACACACACAGTCCTTTATTTCTTGCGGCCCATCATTTCTGAAAACCAAGAGCCTGTGGCGTTAAAAACTGTATGGAGAAAATGGACTTTATGGATGTTTCCTAATTGACTTTCATGGCTCATTTAGGGCTGGATGCTTCATTTATCCATCAGAAGAGTACCACCATTGTCATTTCCTCCTTGCAGGGCTTCACAGTAATAATCTCTTCTGTGTGAAATGTTATGGATGTTTAGATATTTACATGAGACACTAACCATAAAATAAACCATGAACTTGACAGACACATTGCATCAGTTCCCAGCTAATTTTTCCAAGCTTTGAATAGGACTACATAAATGAGCTGACCACAATGCACAATCTTTGAATCTCACAGTGACATGCTTCTATAAAAATAAAGACATTTTGTGGCAATTTTAGAAATAGGATGCAAATTAGGTGCATTTTAGTTGACCTGATGTGTTCCCTATGGGTGCAGTGGTGCGTTAAACAGCTCTGTGGAAAGGAGGTACCATTTACAAACAGTTAGCATGTTTGAATTGTTGTGCAATACAGTTGGAACATTAGCAAATTTTTTATGCAACAAATCTTTTCCTGGAAAATATTGGATATTAATATTACAATTAGTATATGTTCCACTTCCAATATTTCCAGTAAATGCTGTGCCATGTAAATAATAGGGTGATATTTCAAATACATTTAGTTGCATAGTAATATTACAATTCCAATTAGTTAATATTCCAAGTTTGAATATGAACTAATTATTTATTCAACAAAGCATTTGCTAGAAATATTTGAGTATTAACTAATTGGAAATGAAATTTTATTATCCAACTAACTGGGGTTGAAATATTAACTAATTATTTCAATAACAAAGCATTTACCTCAAATGTTGAAATAAAGTGTTACCTTAACTTTCTTTTTTTGCGACTCATAGGCCTGCAAAAATATTTTTAGCAGAAGCTATTTTATATATTCTGTGTAAAACACAAAGTTCATTTGACATTGCTTTGCCAGCATCATTTGATCAGCTGTTGTTGAAATCCACAACATGGACTCAGGGCCGGTTGCAAAGCCAAACACAAAGACTTCCCTGTGGGCACATTTTGGTTTTAAGTCAAATGGAAAAGAAAAGCCCAATAACTTGGCTGTCTCTGCAGCTGTACGGTGGCAGCTAAAGGCACCAATATCATAAAATGTCAGTTGCAGTTGCTCCCCAGTAGTATTGCAGAGGCTTCTGATCCAAATTTGAATGCGATATGAATGCTGTGAAAGCTTTGACAAGCTGTATGAATTGCCAGGAAAAACTTCAGAAATTACAGTTTCCAGCCTATATAGCCAAATGAAAGATGTCAAGGTTTAAAAACCTGACTTGGCCAATACACTCGATGTGATCAAGCGCAGATGTTGCCCCATACGCAAGCTTAACAATACATTACCTCGCCAATGACTGGATGCTACCAAGTGTGAAATAAGATATGTGCCAGAGAAGCTCATAGCTGAATGATTTCAGTATGCTTTGGCAGACTGGGTTTGAGATTAGCAGAAAATGTCCTGCATAAGCACGGATACGCAGCGGTTCTTGGCCGGACATGCGGAACTGCTTTGAATGAAGAAAGAGGCGAGAGTATTTGTACAACAGTTAATCAGCTGACTAATATTTCATGATCAAGACAGCATTGGGCTGTGAGAGGGTCATAAGTGTGTTTACAGACAATCTCTAAACCATCATTCTGCAACATTGGACTGTTTTCCTAGAACATTAGATGAATTGTGACTGGGAAATGGACAGGATTGTTTACAGCTTGTTGATGTTTCCTCTCAAGGTCTATGTTTAAGTTTATTTACACGGTATGATACTATAAACCGCAATGTTATTACTGTATAACAAATCATTAGAGAGATTTTTTTTTTTTTGATTACTGCAGTTTGAATAGCAGCCTAAAAATCCCTTTCACACGTGTATCACCTTGTTTTTCTGGAGTCAGATATGAGTATTAGATTACAAGCTGTGTCTATGGGTGTGTTTTAAAACCTAGTGAGCTGGCTAACTAGACAGCTAGCTCTTTGCTTGCAATGTTTGTACATCTTACTGTTTCAGGGCATCTGTACTGTTGACCAGGTCACAAAAGCAAGATGCTGCACATTTGCAAGGATGCTGTTGCAATGATGCACTTTTTAAAGTGGCTCTTTTGCAGTGAAAATGCAGGAGTCAGCCTTTTCACAAGTCTTTAGCCCTTTAGCCTTGCTTTTCAATATTGTACGGCTTCCTCGCAGCCATAGGGATTACTTAACTCAGTAGGGAATAATTGTCATAGCCCGTTTCTGCACTTTCAGACCTAGTGCTGCAGAGTATCACAACTCAACATGATGCATTGCAT